AGTTTAGCTGAATGAATGGGGTCTGCGTGGCAGTGGTTGGTAGGACTGGGAGGATCAGTTGTAGGTAAATGGCATCAATGCTTTGGGCATCTCTGTGGGGATCATTAAGGAGACTCTGGCTGTCAGTAACTGTAAGAGAGGCTAATTATCTTGCCCAAGGTCACCCATATAGCAAGTGGCAGAGCTGGAATTGATCTTAAGAAGTCTTAACCTCAACATTGTACAATTTCATAATGTGAAAACTGAATGACAAAAGTATACAGTATCAGGGGCAAGACAAAGTCTCTGGATCCTGGAAAATTTCCCTGTCTGCAAATCAGAGTGGGAAAAAGAATTCAGAAATTGATACTGTGAGTCAGTTCAATATTCAATAGCTCTGGTAAAATAACCTAATGATACTTAATTTGCCAGATTATACCAGGGAACAGAATGTGGGGCCATAATACTCTAGACTGATGTACCCTTCCTGCTATTTGTTTCTGAGTTTGCAGGTAAATATGAGAGTAAATCACAGCCAGATGCAGGTGCTGGGACAGGGCAATGTTCCTTTAAATGTGGGGAACTGGTGCCCTGCAATGATGATTTTGATATTGGTGTGTAGGATGAGAGGGGAAATATACAGGAAACAGTATAACCAGTTAGTATTCTGCCATGGTGATCCATAAATGAAGCAATGAAGCTTAAAATGTCCAAATCCAGTCCCTTGACAAATCTATCTCTCTACACCCTTGTCTTCCTTTTCCATCCAGTCATCCCACTCACTCACTTCCCTTTCAGAGCTTTATCCCATTTTGGTTCCTTCCCTTTATGCCACAGGTTGAAAGATCATCTCTGAAACACCCAATCTATTTGTCATTGCTGTCAGTACTCTGCTCTGTCTGTCTATACTGAAGCAGAGTTTCCCTCTCAAAGCCCAAGAGATGGGAAATATTTACACTTGGAAATTTTTCATATTTGGAAACAAAGGTGTCACTATAACAGAATATTCCTGATGAGGTTTCATTCTATAAAATGATGGTGGAAAGATTTGCTTAGAATTGTGCATTTATTCCATTTTAGGAGTCTTGCAAATGGAAAACTATATTTTAAAAAAGCAACAGAAATCCCAAGTCTAACTTTTGGGGAAATTTACATTTTATTTAATAAAAGAGAAACATGCAAATCGACTGTACCTCTGTGACACCCACAAGCCACGCCCACAAGCCATGCCCACAAGCCAATCAGGAGCGAGTATGCAAATAAACCCAACCAAGATGGTGGTGGCCACGGAGCTGGAGTGAACAGGAGGCTTGGGTTACCCCTGGCGATGGAGGAAGCCAAGCTTCCCACCTGCCCTGGCCGGCCATGGGCTCCGCTCAAGGTTACAAAGTTTCAATTATAGAAGATAAATTAAATCCCAAATAGCTGCTTCCAGCTGCCATGGCCTCTGCTCAAGGAGGGGCTGGGAGCCTGAGTTGCCTGGGGCCGTGGCCAGCCGGCAAACAGCCATCAGCCCCTCACCCAGACTGGCCAAGCACCCCAGCAGGGACCCCCAACCTGAAGGGG